GATAAACTACTGAAAATGGCGAAAATTCAGGACTTAAAAATTGAGGAGCTGAAACAGGGAATGACGTAGAATGTTCCACAAAGAGAAACGTCAAGTTGGATGAACACTGCGAACAGCGAGAGAAAGAGAATGAGCGATAAACTTCAGAATGTTCTAGAGTTGCCATAAGTGCCAGCGCAGGTATATAAGGGCGCCGCCACCGCGAGGTGAGTGAGTTACAAGTCAGCAAGCTACAAGTAAAGTGAGCAGAGAAGCGAGTTGCGAATAAGCAAGCTATAAGTTTAATTGTGTGTAACAAGTTCGGTAAAGCGTTGTAATTGCTTTAACAAGTATTGTAGTGTTTTTACTGTATTAGCAAGTATTGTAAAATTGTTTGTTGTACAATAAAGTTAATTGTACTACCATTTGGTCATCGTTAGCCTTTATTTAACAATCCAGCGATACGAGCCCGAGTATATTTAGGAAATCCCTCAAGGTTTCGAGGATAATCGTAACAATATGTATATTATCCGGGTACCCGGGCAAATCGGATAATAAAAACCCCGGGATCTTTGTGTTAACGCAAACTCATCACAGCAAAACAGTGCAGCTGTCGTAGCCCTTATAGAGAATTTACACGAGACGATTTTTCAGGCAACGTTTAGTTGAAAGCAACAATCGCCTGGTGTAAACGGCTTTTCAACTAATCGCTTTCAATGAATTTGGTCGGCTGCCTACTTTCCAAGGCGAATTAATATAAGGTGATAGCAGGAGTACAAAAACAAAAATTTACATGTATTTTGCATGGTGTAATAATAACAAGGTGTTGTCAGTAACTTAACCTCACTTTTTCGGCAGGTCTATTCCGGTCACGCATTTTAAGGTACTAGAAAAGGTACTAATTATTTACTACATTTAATCCGTTGGTGCATACTATTTAAATTAAATGTAGAAAAATGTATAATTACAGGCTTATAAGCCTGAATACATGTGCCACTCTATTCTAGTGTATCAGTAGTTGATTTGGCTCAATATTATGACAATGCAGCAAAAATTATTTAATATAAAAAAGCACCTTTCCATACGATTTCTGGGTACGTTTTTTTCCATTGATAAATTGAAAATTATACAAATCCAGCAATTTTAAATATTAATATTGTTCTGAAAACACAAAGTTCTTTATAAATCGCGGTAAAACGAATTACTAAAATGGAGTATTTTAGATACTATTTCCCAACGAATAGTAGTATAAAAATTAAGATCGGCAGCACTGAAAATAAGCATGCCGATCTTGTAAAAAATCACACCAAACACGCCGCTACTGACAACACCTTGTTATTAGCTCTGATCCTGTACTCCACGAACTTACAGGATTTTAGACGAACTTGCAGGAAAAATGTTCCCGTACTCCGAAATCCTCCAAAATCATGTAAATGAGAGCGACTTTTGGAGAGTTGTGTAGAGAATGAAGTTGCAAGATTTTACCCGAACTTTTTCTTCTGGTAAAATCATGAAAAGTGTCAAGCAATCACTGGTTGACGTTTTTACAGGAAAAATTGTCTTTTTGTGCCCGTACTTTTTGTTGTTACTCACTTTTTACTCTCACTTCAGAGTAATTTTGCTGTTTGACAGTTTTACAGGACTTTTCACGAAAAGTATTGGATCAGAGCTATTATTCCACCATGTGTATTTTGTTTTTGCTTTNGCCACTCTCTTCTAGTGTATCAGTAGTTGATTTGGCTCAATATTATGACAATGCAGCAAAAATTATTTAATATAAAAAAGCACCTTTCCATACGATTTCTGGGTACGTTTTTTTCTATTGATAAATTGAAAATTATACAAATCCAGCAATTTTAAATATTAATATTGTTCTGAAAACACAAAGCTCTTTATAAATCGCGGTAAAACGAATTACTACAGTGGAGTATTTTAGATACTATTTCCCAACGAATAGTAGTATAAAAATTAAGATCGGCAGCACTGAAAATAAGCATGCCGATCTTGTAAAAAATCACACCAAACACGCCGCTACTGACAACACCTTGTTATTAGCTCTGATCCTGTACTCCACGAACTTACAGGATTTTAGACGAACTTGCAGGAAAAATGTTCCCGTACTCCGAAATCCTCCAAAATCATGTAAATGAGAGCGACTTTTGGAGAGTTGTGTAGAGAATGAAGTTGCAAGATTTTACCCGAACTNGCCACTCTATTCTAGTGTATCAGTAGTTGATTTGGCTCAATATTATGACAATGCAGCAAAAATTATTTAATATAAAAAAGCACCTTTCCATACGATTTCTGGGTACGTTTTTTTCTATTGATAAATTGAAAATTATACAAATCCAGCAATTTTAAATATTAATATTGTTCTGAAAACACAAAGCTCTTTATAAATCGCGGTAAAACGAATTACTAAAATGGAGTATTTTAGATACTATTTCCCAACGAATAGTAGTATAAAAATTAAGATCGGCAGCACTGAAAATAAGCATGCCGATCTTGTAAAAAATCACACCAAACACGCCGCTACTGACAACACCTTGTTATTAGCTCTGATCCTGTACTCCACGAACTTACAGGATTTTAGACGAACTTGCAGGAAAAATGTTCCCGTACTCCGAAATCCTCCAAAATCATGTAAATGAGAGCGACTTTTGGAGAGTTGTGTAGAGAATGAAGTTGCAAGATTTTACCCGAACTTTTTCTTCTGGTAAAATCATGAAAAGTGTCAAGCAATCACTGGTTGACGTTTTTACAGGAAAAATTGTCTTTTTGTGCCCGTACTTTTTGTTGTTACTCACTTTTTACTCTCACTTCAGAGTAATTTTGCTGTTTGACAGTTTTACAGGACTTTTCACGAAAAGTATTGGATCAGAGCTATTATTCCACCATGTGTATTTTGTTTTTGCTTTGGCGGCATAAACTGTCAAAATCTGTAAGTGTGTGTAGAAATTCAAAAAAAAAATTTCAATTTGATATCAGAAGCCGTGCGGCGAAACACATACACAAAATCAGCTGAGCTAGTAACACCACCTTATATAAATTCGCCTTGCTACTTTCGTTCAACTTTTTATTCAACTAATCGCCTGTGAAAGTTGAATCATGTAAATTCCCTACTATAGATATTTTCTGTCCACAGCAATTCGATATGTTGTTATTTGATATTAGAATCAGCATCAAAAATTACGGTTAAGGCGAATGGTTTCCAATATTAAAAACTAGTTTTTATAGTGCAGATAGAGCGTGTTAAATGAAATACCTCGATATGTATATCATACCCTAAAGCAGCTTTCCAAAGACAATTCCCGTAGCCATCGTAAATTTTGAATGATACTCTGTACTGATTCATCGGTTACTCCATTCACGCAGTACCCTAAGTTTAGAACTCGCAGCTCCGGAAGGTTTTTAGCTAGAACCTTGATGGCCTCCTCGCATACCTGTATATGACTCATATGAAGAATCAGCAATGTTACATTAAGTGTAGCTGCCACTCCATTTGTAAGACCGTCCGATTGTATACCATCACAACGTGATACATTCAAATGCTTCAAGTTCTTTAATTTGTTTAAAAGAGACGCTCCTTCATTTGAAATATTAACACAACCAGCAATATTAAGCTCTTGTAGCGAAGAGACACTTTTCACAATTACATCAAGGCAACTATCGTTCACGCAGATTGTGTCCGATAGATCCAGTACCAATAAATTTGTTTGCGAAGTTAAAAGTAAATTGAGAGATATTGCATTTAATTGCCTACATTTCGCTAGTCCAAGACGATGCAAATGGAGTTCTCCCCTTTCCAGCTCACATAGAGCAGATAGAGCTGGGGCGCCGATCAATGTATTACTAAAGTTAAGGCAACGTATATGCTCGTGATGCAATGCTAATATGCGAATAATGAACTTAAAGGTCAATATAGATTCGCATGGTAATATATCACCTTCATTTGGATAAAATCGCCGTTGAATCGCGTTGTGATAAGCTATGTGGCAACCGGACAAATCTAAAGAGTATATGCTCTCCAACATTTCAGTCAAACGCATTAAAATTGCATCCGATATATACTGATTATCGCTCAGGGAAAGGTGATGTATATTTGCAAAGCTTAAGCCCGGTTCATTTTCTAAAAATGAACCTGACATAAAAAGCTGTGAACAGTGCGTTATTTTTAACGAAGTTATATTTGGTAATAGCCTCATGATTTCGCAGAACTGTTTGACTCCAATATCTACATTGTCAAATATTATTTCCTTAGCCGTACTACCAATGTGGCTCATAGCCTGTTGCACTGGTCCGAACGAGATTTCCTCAAAGCAGAAGTTCCGAAAAGGCATTTCACTTTTAGCGTAGTCCTTTGCCGGCGTAAGCATGTCTGATAGACATAATTTGGAAAATCGAACTAAAACTCGTTTAGTGAACTCCGTATTAAATGTTGCTTCACGCCATCGTTGGCATGTTCTACCTGCTATTTGCATGTCTGCAGCACTCAAATATCGAAAAATATGAAGAATTATCTGTAATTAATAGAGAATACTTCATATAAGTATATTATTCACAAAATATTTATGAAAAAAATACTTTTAGGGGCACACTGCCAAGAAACAACAACTTTTCTAATTGCTTTACAGACAAGCGATTTCTACTTTCTGTACTACATGACCGCACTTTCCGCGAAAACTCTAATAACGGGCGTCATTTGTTGAGTTACCGTTGCAATGATAAAAGTAGTAGAAATTACTCTTTCGATACCAAGTACTTTTTTTTGGATACTTACTCGATACCGAACAAAAAGGTATCGAGTAAAAAAAAATACTTGGTATCAAAAGAAAAGTATCGAGTAATTACTTGTATCGATTGAACCCTAAATCTATCTTAGGTTGATAAAACAATCACCCGTATGCTGTAATCCGAAAGTTCGTAGTTACGAATTCGTAGCTCCGTTCGAAAATTCGAAAATTGGTATGCTGTAATCCGATCGTAACCACGGTGCAGCGAACAAAGGTGGCGCCGTCAGCAGTACCGCTACTTTAGTTTTGCCGATTTTGACAGTTGTGGTAACTTGTAAATAAACCTTTGTTTACAAATCAGCGAAAGAGAAATTTAAATTAGAAGTTAAAAATCAGTTTAAATTGTGTTAATTTGCAATTTGTGAGTGATTTTTGAGTTGAATACTGCGTAGAAACTAATAAAATGAAGTGCTGTGTTTTAAATTGCGACATCTATCAAGATGCAAGATGCGTAGATGCAAATGTAGCGCTGGGACGAATCGCTGCATTTTGTGTACATAGGGCACGGCAAAGCCGTTCCCGAAATGTTTCTTTATTATAACATTAACAGCATTTCCTCACAATGATTTTGCTTCTGCTCCAAGCAGCCTCCATGCAGCCTCCATTAGCAAGTTAACCAATCAATCCCGCTGAGAGGCTGCCGCAGTTTTCTGCAGCAGCCTTAATTGCAAAGCAATGGAGTGCACTAAAACGTTTGCTAAAGCAGCCTCAATTGCAAGGCAATGGAGTGCACTAAAATGTTACCTATTCTCTAAAAGATTAGGCAAAAATGCAATATTTTCGCATTTAGCAAAATTAAAACACGTTTTTCGCTGTAAGGTGAACTGTTTTGGCAGTTTCAACTCGGTCTTCTTTTCGCTCTATTCAATGTTTACTTGTGGTACACAAATTTCAACGCCCAGGACGGCGCAATCTTATATTATATCATTCTTGGATCGTAACTATCAACGGCGTTGCCAACTAAAATAGTGAAATTCGAAGTTCCTACTCAGCTGATTTGGCAGAAACAAATCACAATAAATATACATAATCGCAAGTGAATAGTAAAATTAAAAAAAAAAATTAGTTTAATCATTCAGGGCTATCACGGAATCCATCGTAGAAAGTCTACGAATTCAAATGCACGCAACGAATACGAAAATATTGCTATCACTGAATCCGAGTGAACTCGAAAATATCGTTGCCAGCTTCGAATGCTGATTCGAAATCAGTTAGTGCAAAGGAAACATCAGACATTTATGTATGTCATTTTGCTCACGCTACCCCATCAGGCGCAATGGCCGAGTGCAAAATGTATTCAACAAAGTGTGATTGATTTTGACATTGCTCTCATAAGAAACAGGCTATAATGTCAAATTGAAATGAGTTGTTAACCCATTTGAAAATGTGTTTTTTTTTTTCAAATTTGAATTTAAAAAAAAAATACAAAAATTTTTCAAGCAAAGCAAATTTTCTTAATAAACGTGAAATTGTTAAGAGATGAACCGCCGAGAAGAGCAAGTAAGTACATTTAAGTTTGGTAATAAGTAAATACGTTCGACTTTGCTTAAATATTTAATGTAAGGAAACCAAGATGAAACGATGCAATAAAAGTCAGGACACGAAAATAGTGCCACTTAGTTGCGAATTAAGACGGCAGCGATGGGAAGAAAGCTTTGGTGTTGTACTACGTGATTCATCTCGCGTTTGTGAAAACCACTTCAAGGAAAGTGATGTGAAAATCAAACACTTTCCCACGAGCTCGTTTATACCCATGCGCAGTCCCAATGCCATACGGAAAAACTGNAACGAAAATAGTGCCACTTAGTTGCGAATTAAGGCGGCAGCGATGGGGAAGAAAGCTTTGGTGTTGTACTACGTGATTCATCTCGCGTTTGTGA